TGAAAGTCTGGTGCTCTCTCAGGGGGTGCTGAGGGTCCCTCAGCCGGGCTGGGGGCCGTGATACTGGGGAGGAGCTGCTAGCTGAGGGAATGGGCTGGTGTCCCCTCAGAACGTGTGAGCCCTAAGCGAAGTCTTCTCCCCACTTTTTCTGCAGCTTTTCCACCATGGCAATGCAGTACCTGCTCCCCACTCTGCTGTACCTCTCACTTGTGCTGCTGAGGCCCGGCGGTGAGTGTTTAGACACCCAGCTTGGGCCCGTGGGGCTCCCCCAGGCAGGGGTGGCTCCTGAGGGGTGAGAGCTTTGCCTTTCTGGAGGGACCTGTGCCATGGTTCCCCTCAGATCTTCTCTCACATGTTATCTTTGTCTTGGAGTGCTCCTACACTGACAGTGCTACACTGAGGCACTGATGTGGTGGAGCACTCGCACTCCAAACTCCACCTCTGCAGAAGCAGGTTAAATAGTGTCTGTGGTACAGTCGGTGATGGGAGCTCTCCTGCACTTGAATAGCTTCTTAAGAACATCCTGTAACATATGGCAACAAGAAAAAAAAGTGACTGGGACAACCTGTTTATCTCTCCATTTCTGGTCTTATTTTTATGTAGCTCTCTGTTCTTCCTCTTGTGTCCTTTAAGCATAAAATGAGTAAAATAGACTTGGATTCCAAATATCAGAGTTGTTGACACGTGACCGGCTTATGGTTTTGATATCAGTTGTATTGGCACTTGGAATCTCAGCCTCTCTTAAAGCATGATGTGGTATAACGTAGCTGGATTGCTGTAAAATGTACTCTTTAATAGCAATATCTCAGAGCACTGTTTAAGGTGCTTGTGATTCCTGAAGTGTTAATATAGTAAATGTACATTCTCTTGACTATCTGGGTATCTGGTTTGAATTTGTGACCCAAGATGCAATTTTAAACTCAATTTTGGGCATTTGTGTCTCCTAAGTTAACAGGATCACATCAAGAAAGAATTAGTGTGAGTGCAAAGTATCCTGTAGCCTTCCCTTGGCATGAACTTTTGTTGCACTTGAAATATTTAAATTGCTTCCTCATAACAGGTTCAAGTGGCTGTTATTTACTTCTCCTTTTAAGTTGTTTAGTTGCCTTGAAATAAGCTGTACTCCCTTTGCTGTTTATCATATGTACTGATTTTATGAACCTGACACTGCAGGCACCAATGGACAAAATGTCTATCTCACAAAAGAAAGTAGGTAGCTTTTCTGAAGGAGCTATTCATCATTCATAGTAATTGAGATTTGTGTGGGGGTTTTTGGTTGTGTTTTCCCCCCCAGATGGAGTCATTGTATTGTCTGTCCCTGAAGTGGTTTCATTAGAAAGTGGAAGTTCAACAAACGTCACTATCTCTCTGAGGTAAAAATCATGATTGCACCTTTACTTTCTCTTTGAAATAGGGGATGAGCAAGTTAGTAGGACTTGGCTATATACTTTTTATATATTATACTTATATACTAGGGGTAACCAAGTACATGTCCATAACTTCTGCCCCTCTTTACCAGCGAAGGGCTAACAAGCACAATCATAGGATTCTGGTGGCAATGATTTTATTCTGCCACTTGTGTGAAGAAGAGGGAGGTAAATAGTGGCCGTGTAGCTGTCTAGTGCCTGTCACTAGTTCAGATAAAAAGTAGTACAATGATACCACACTTTGGTGCTGGTGTTCCTCTGAGTACTAGGTAGGTACTATTGTGTATGGACTGCTCATTGTGTTTGTAACGGCTGTGAGGATTTAGTAGATGCTCTCCTGCAGCCCTGAAGCAATCTTTGTGAACTCAGGCATGAGTCTAATGTGTTTTGTCTGCCTTCCTAGGGCTCCATTAAATGAGACACTGGTGATAACTTTTAATGTTACACACTCATCAAAACACAGCACTATTGTTGAACTGCCTGATGAAGTAAGTGACACAACAGACTTCTGACCTTATGGAAAAGCCTACTACTGGTATGGTGCAACTCTCCTCTTTCTTCCCTCCGCTTTGCCTTGCAGGTACAATTGCCTGCAGGTCACACTAAAGCAGACTTCCAAGTGAAAGCAGATGATGTTGGACAAGTAACAGTTTATCTTTATACCATTAATTACAACTTAACTGGGTGAGAAACTGTTTTTTAGTTCTACTTGCTATCCTACAGCTTCCTAAACTTTGGGATAACTATTCCCTTCTTATAGTTTAAATAGTTAATGGGACATGGGTGGTATGTAGTTGAGAGGATGTGGTGACCCTCCAGCAATCCCCAAGGTATTCAGATAAATACAGGGTATGGAAGCAGAGTGGTAGTCTTGGTATCTTAGATTTCATTACTAGATGGCTGTGAGTTCTCATGTCTCCTTAGTCTGGTTTTAATAATCCCTCCCAAAAGTATCAAAACTACATGTCAGCTTTTCTGATCCAGGACGCATTTGGTTGTAAATGTCCAGTGAGATACTATTATTACTGTGCAGAACTTGTTCTGGAGTGCTAATAGCCTGATGCAGCTGTTTTGCTTTCTAGTTGGGGTAGCCCTCTTTTCACAGATGCCAGTCCTCCCTAATGGGAAAACAGTCTAGCAGATGGAGAAAGTTGGATTGTATTTGCTTGTTGCCCAGATGCTACTGAGCAACAGGATACTTCTGTTTTACTTCCTCATTTCACTTCTGCTTTTAAGACTTAAAGCAAATGCAGAGGTAAGCATGTGAAATGCTCAACAGGACAGGCATGATCATGAGATTTTGCTGGCAGAGCGTGAAAAGTGAAACTCTACTCTTGCATAACAGACCTCGTGCTAAGAGAGTGGAAGCCATAGGCACAAGGTGACCTTTTTGAAGATTTCAATGGCAAAAGAATGGAAAGGAAAGAAAAAAAAGAAAGGGTAGGAGTGGGAGATATCTTAAACATAACAAGGATGCTAAAGGAAAGGGGAGCAACTCAACTGAAAGCAAATTAATCTTTATTGTCTTGTCTCAACACCTGGACTGTTTTTTCTCTGAGCAGAACAAGGCAAAAAATCTGGAAAAAGTGTGAACAGACAAAATAACTAATTCTTTTTGCATTAACCATCAGACCTAGGATTCAGTTTCAAGTGATTCACAGCATCATAGTGAGATATGCTGATGAAGTGATTGGCTGGATCTATTTCCTTGCCTGGTCTATCTCGTTTTATCCTCAACTCTTTGAGAACTGGCGACGAAAAAGGTAAAGAGACTTAAGATGTGTTTGCAAGTCACTTAAGCACTTCTGAAAATCATGTTCCTAGTTTCAGTCACATCCATCTTGGTTATTGTGAATTATGCATAGAAAGACTGG